CCTTTGCCCCGGCCTTCTTTTGCCCCGGCTTCTAAATACGACAAAGGTCCTGCACATCGCTTGGAAGCTTCTTTGTCTTCGGCTTCTTCGGTACCTTCAGGGTCTCTCGTTGCCGGGTGTGGGGCTGTGCCTGTCCTTCCGACCAAGCAGGCAGCATCTTATGCGATCCGGTCCTTTGCGGTGACTGGGGGTAAGAGCACCTTTGCGGCGGCAGCCTCGGCTCTTGCTTCGTCTGAGCATTCCTTTCGCACCTCGTCGGGTGCCCTGGAAAAGGAATGGGTGCAGGTTCGCGGCCGTTGGAGTCGTGTTGTTCCCTGGCTGCTTCCTTTGAGTTCCTTCTTGCAGGAGCTCCTTGCCAAGGCGAACCACGCTGAGCTTCTGGAGCTGCTTTGGCGCCGGAACTCAGCCACCACTGTGAAGCGCTATTTGCAGTCGCTTTTTCGAGTTTTCTCGATGATGGAGGACTTGGAGGTCCCTTTTCCCTCCTTTTCCCAGCTCCAGCTGCATGATGCTGTTCTTGCTTTACATCGCACCTTTGACGGCAGCCTCACTTTCGGCGATAATGTGCTCAAGGCTTTGCGCTGGTCTCAGAAGGCGTTCCAGCTCGACTTGCCTAGCTTGCACAGTGGTGTCTTCGCCGCTTCAGCTTTATTTCAGCGAACTGGTGAGAAACGCGAGGCACCACCGATTCCACTTGCATTTGCTGTGTGGCTGGAATTTTCCTTTATTCAGGGCATCGAGGACATGGCTGAGCGCATGTTTGTTGGGGCCGTTTTGCTTTGCCTGTGGGCGAGTTTGCGATTTGGTGATGCCCAACACGTGCGATGGTCTTCCTTGCTTTTCGATTTGGCAAGCCTCCGCGGCTGGTGCTATAAGACCAAGACGCACCCTAGAGGAACACCCTTTGCCGTCACCTCGGGTGGCTTTTGTGGCTGCCGCGCGGGTAACGACTGGCTTGCTTTGTATTGCATTTCCCTGAACCAGGTCTTGGCTGATTGCCGCCAGTGCTTTGCTGCCGATTGTGACCCCGATGCTCTTTTCTTTTCTTTTGATGCTGGGGCACCTTCATTTGTGCCTCTGTCTTATGGGCAGGCTTTGCTTCGGCTTCGCTCTCTCGCTGCCCGGTGGTCTCAGGAGATTGGGCTTGCTTCGGAGCATTGGATTGCGGGGCTTAGCCTCCACAGTCTTAAGGCCACTTTCCTTTCGTATGGCGCTCAGACCAATCAGAGTGAGCAAGATCGTGCGGTGCAGGGGCATCACAAGTTGGGCTCTGTTGCTTTGTACGGCAGAGATGATTGTCTTCCTGCATTGCGTTTGCAGCAAGCCGTGGTCTCTTGCTTCTCGGGGGGCTGGCGAGCTCAGACTCCTTTGCAGCGAGGTGCTTCCCCCTCGGGATTTTGCTTTGTGCTTGGACCTGTCCGAGGTGCATTGGATTCTACGCTTCGACTCTGGAACGCGACCGGCTCAGAATGCTGAGGCTCCTGCTTTGCCAGCTGAGGTTGCTTTGCCGGAGCCGTCTGCCCTGTCGTCGGACCAGCTCTCTGCTGAGAAGTCTTTGCCGGTTACTTTGGCAGCTCCGGACCCAGGTGAGGTTTCGGAGGCAGAGTCTGAGGACCTTGGCCAGCCCGAGGAGATCAGTTTGATTTCTACTTTGCAAGGCAAGGTTCTCCACTTAAACGTGGCGGGCCCTGGGTGCTCGCCTCGCCCTGCTTGTGGGTGCTTTGCGAAAGGCTGGGAACATGTTCTTGAGCCCGGTCCTACTTTGCAGTTTTGCCGGCACCCTGCTTGCAACAAGGCTGTGTGGTACGACTGAGCTCGCGTACGCTGGCCTTTGCCTTACTTGCTGGGGGACCGCTCGTCTCTTTAGCATTGCTTTTTCGCTTTGCGCGGGGCCTCGGAGCGCGTCTCCCTGGCCGGGCTCGCTTAGCCGATTCTCGCTTCTTTTTCCCCAAGGGGGTCACGAATTTTTCGCTTGGTGTGAAAAATCTCGCGCTTGGGGCGACTTTTGCTTTGCCCTCACTGCTCGTCGGTTGCTCGTCTTCAGCTGTATTCTTACCTGCTTCAGGTCATGGTCTTGGCAATCATGTTCGCTCTCGCTGCTTTTGGCTTATTTGTGGTAGATCGTCTCCTTTGCCTATGCCGCGCTACTTTGGCTCCCATCTGCATTTGCTGTCGCTTTACTTTGCGCAGAAGATGCACTCCGAGCAGTTCAAGGCCATCATCAGCAACCTTCCTTTGCACCAGCTTTGCAAATATTTGTGCGAGAAGGCGCACCGCTGCCAAAGCAAACGAGAGTTAGCTCTTTCTTGCAAAGAGAAGCTGGAGTCCGGGACGAGCTCCGAAAGAGCACCATCAACTTCAGCCACCGAGGTGGCCGACATGGCAAAGGACGGCACATCCCAATCTTCTTCCTTCAAGGCTTGCACCAGTGAGGCCGGGACCTTGAAGGAGGCCGCCAAGGCGAGAAGCTCGTTGTCCTGGCAGGGCACAGGAAGCAACAAAGAAAAGAAAAGCCAGCAAGCATGACACTCGGAACGGCAAGCGGCCTCCGAGTCGGTCATGGCAAAGCGGAAGCGAGCCGCCCGGGCTGAGTCCCCCAAAGGGCGCTAGAAGCTAAAAGCGAAATATGCAAGGGATTTCCCCAAAGCAATAGCCACCCGTGAGCTAAGCGAGCTGTGGGCCAAGCGAGCGGAACGAATCAGTTCAAGCAAGCTGGCTGGAGAATTCACTCCGAGCTGCCTAAGCGAGGCCAAAAGCAATGTGCAGCCACACGCGGGACATGCACTTTTGCACCGGCGGAAGCAGTGCGATCAAGAAGCCGCCCACGGCTTATGCAGAAAAGGGCAGCTGATGCAAAAGGAAGATCAGCACAGCAAATGCCGAGACAAGCGAGGCCCCAACAGGCTAGAAAAAGCAAAGCTATGGTCTGCAAATGCGCTGCAGAAATAAAGCAATGCAACCAAGGTCCTCACCTGCTGCTGCAAAGGCTCTGCAAAGTACGTGCCAGTGGGCATTGCTCTCCAAAGCAAAGCCAAAGGAGAGCGAGGGGGGGCGAGATTCCCGGAAGCAAAAGCAAAGTATCAACTTTGCAAAGAAAAGCTAAGAAAAGCACTGCAAAGGAAAACTCGCCACCCCCTCACTGCAGTTGCTTCGCACGAAAAATGCGATAGCACTGCTTACAGCGGTGCTTATGTATGCACTTCTCAGGGCGAGCCACATCAAGAATGGCACCGCAATGCCCACTGGCACACTCCTCGCACTCTTCTTGGCATTCCACTCGCATGATCCGACGCACATGGTAGGGCCCAAGCTTCTCGTAGACACCCGCGGGCATGTCATCAAAGCAAGAATCAAAGGAAACCCCGGGCTTGTCCCCAGCGGCGTCGGACTGCAAAGGAGACGAAGCAGGGGCCCCACCATGTGCGCCATCACCATCCCCCGCAGATTGGCCCAAGGAGGATCCAAAGTAGAAGCAGGGGCCGCATCGGCAGCGCTAGTGCTGGTCTGTGGCAAAGTAGAAGACGAAGTCGGCGAAGCACTGGAAGGCTGCAAAGGAGTACCTCCCGGAGGCACCTTCATCGAATCCCACCAGCCATTGCGCTGCCAGTAATCGTACCAGTCGTCATAGGAAAAGCCCATGTGGTTGTGGTAACGGTGCAAATGGGCAGGGTAGGGGTTGCCCCCTTCCGAAAGCAAAGGATCCTGCAAAGGATCCTGCAAAGGAGGGTCGGTGGCATCCTGGGCAGCGGCTGCAGGGTCGACCTTCGGAGGAGGCAAAGGAGGACCGTCCGAGGACGATGCAGCATCCTTGCCAAAGTGCGGCAAAGTACCAGGATCCACAGAAGGAGCCGGGTCCGCAGAAGGCAAAGTAGAGGAGCCACCCTCCTTCGCCGGCAAAGTAGACGAGCCCCCAGCAACATCCGCCGCAGTATCAGCACCAGCAGCCGAACGAGGAGTCAAAGGAGGGCTCTCGAGGCTTGCAGTCAGGCAGTCAAGCAAAGCAAGTCTGCCCTCCTCCGGCACCCACAACAAAGTCCCATAGACCTCTGAACCATCCTCCTGCGATGACTTGTGGAGCTGCTTTTGCTTTGCCGGATCCTCCGGCCGATCCGGCTTCGCTCTCTGCTCGGGAGTCGGCCTCGTCTTGGGCGAGCCCGTTTCCTCCCAAGGTTGCTGCGGATACTTTGCAATCCCTCAAGAAAGAGTTCTTGAAGTCTTATACTTCTGAAGTCTTGGACCCGGACACTTTGCCCTCTCCCCGCCTTTTGGCTCTGGTGAAGGCCAACGTCGATGCTCTTCCTTTGCGATCAGGCTGGCGCTGGGTGGCTTGGAAGTTTCGGCTTTCACAGAGGGCCCANNGAGAAGGACAGTATCGCTTTGAACTCCAGGCCGAGGAAAATTGCTAAACTTGACCTCTCAGATCTGCTGCTGGACGATATACCTCTTCGAGAGATACCGTCGTCGGGCCAGCTGGGGAATTACCAGTTGTCGCAAATTCTTTCTTTGCATTCTGTGGCAGTTGCCCTTTGCAAAGGTTGTCATCTCAGCACGCTTCGTGCCTATGAGCGCGCTTTCTTGGAGCTTGCGACCAAGCGTTACCTTGCTGAGTTGAATTTGCGCAGTCCTGCGGCACAGGAGGCTCGAACATGCTGATCGCATGCTTTGGGAGCAAATCTCTGCTCTCCTTTGCGAAGACTGGAAGCTGGATGACACCCTGCACCAAGTGACTGCTGTGAGGTCGTCTTTGCACGTTCTCCTTTGCCCTCGCCCTTCCCTGCCAAAGAACACCCTGACCAACAAGAGCCAGCAGCTGGGCCGTGACCCCCCCAAGGGTTTGGGTCGAGGTCGGGGCGGCCGGGGCAGAAACGGCAAGGGCAGGGGCGAACGAGGTGACAAAGGCGCAGAATCGGGCTCCAAGCGCCACAAGTGGGCTACTACCTTCAATGGCAAGACACTTTGTCTCCGCTTTAATTCTCGTTCTGGTTGCTCGGATAAGAATTGCAAGTACCTGCACCAATGCTGTGTGGTGGACGAGAACAACAACAAGGTCTGTGGTGGTAAGCATCCCGCTTTTGAGCACCCGGGGTCTTCTTGAAACACCCCTGCTCAGGGTCAGGGTGAGGCCTTGACTGGGTCGGCGGCTTTGTCACCCGCGATTTCTCCTTCGTCTGAGAGCAGTTCTTCTGATGCCTTGGAGGCTTTTTCTCCCACTTTGCCTTCAGCGCGGATTTCTTCTCAGCCCGCTGCGGTCGGGCCCTCACCTCTTCCTTTGTCGTCTGAGGCAGTGCCCACAGGAGACACAGCTCCGCCGTTGCAGCCTATCATGGTGGAGCTTGGTCACGCTGCTTCGGGCTTTTTCTCCGACCCCGCAATGGCCGCGGGTTTCTCCTACGCGTTCTTTTCTTTTGGTGCAGACTCTCCTGCACCTTCTCTTTGTCAGGACGATGCTGTGGCTGCTTTGCTTCGCTGCGCTTTTGCAGGAGTTATATCAGTCATGGCAGTGCACATCTTTGACCTCGAGGCCGGTCCTGTGGGGGATCGTGTTCTGCATCGTCTTTGTCAGTTGCTCTTGGCCACATTTCTCGGTGGTGGTCACATTTTGCTTTTCATGCATTCGGCTTCGGGTCTTTGGACCCAACGGGCCACGAGATCTCTTCTTTTGGAGGTGCGCGCCGCCCTTACAGTCTTGCCACTTTGCGGTTTCGGGGCTTCTTGTCAATTCTTGTCATGACGAGCTTTTGCTGGCATCTTCTCTGGAATGCTTTGGTGGTCTAGCGGGTACCTGCTCACATACGAGTTCGGCTCCCACTTCGGCGTGCGCTCTTCCGGCTGCTTTGTGCCAGGATATTTCGGTACTTTTGGGCAGGTCGAATCCGGCCTCCTGTTCTCCAATATCACTTTCTTTGGATGCTCTGGTTGCCTTGCGCCCGGTGAAGCAGGCTCGTGACCTTCCCATTGCCTCCCAGGATGGCGGCGGCATTCATTCTAAGCCCGACTGGTCGGTGCCGCCTTCTTCGGCTTCGGGGGTCTTTGCTCAACTTCGGAAGGACTTCCTTACTTTTATTCTGCAGCATGGTCTTCACAAGCGCCTTCGGGCACATGTGGCCGCGGCTTCGGCATCTCCTTTCTTTTCCGAGGCAGAGGTTTTGTCTTTTCGGGGGATCGCGAATCGTTGGTTTGCGGCCCAAGGTTGTCGCGACGAAGTCAATTGGGCTAAGCCTCCGGGCCAACCTTATTGTCTTCACGCCTTGCATTCGCTCAGCCAGTTGGTGAAGGACGCCGACAAGCATTTGTTCTTAGCCCTGCTCGAGGGCGTTCCTACTGGTTACGATGGCGATATTCCTAAATCCAATGTCTTTACGCAGCATGATAATCCGCTTTCGGACGGCGATCTCTTGCTTTGCTTTGGTAACTGGACCGGAGCCGAGGCCGACCCTTCTTTGCTTTGCGAACTTCTGCAGAAGGAGGTCGATGCTGGCTGGTTGGAGACCATTCCTTTGCACGAGGCCCAGGCGCGTTGGGGCTCTCGTCTCGCGGTCGGGCGCTTGAACATCGTGATCGCTCCTGGCAAGAAACCTCGGCTTGTGGTTGACAGCTCGGTGTGCGGTACAAACAGCTGTTGCCAGGTTCCTGAGTCTTATGCCTTGCCAGGTTTGCAGCACGTGCGCTTTAGCTTTCCTTTCAGGTTGCATAACGGAGCTTTGGGTGGCTTTTCTTTGGACATCGAGGCGGCGCACAAAACAGTTCGTGTCCGCGAACGTGACAGAGGCCTTTTGGGCGTGCAGCACACTTTGCCGGATGGTACTTTGCGCTGTTTGTTTTACCGCGTTTGTCCTTTTGGAGCGGTTTTCAGCGCACATTGGTTCCAACGAGTCAGTGCTTTTCTTATACGCATGCTTCACCCTTTCCTTTATGTGCGTCACGCACTGTTCATGTACAGCGACGATCTGCTGGGCATTACGGAGCAATCTGTGCTGGACATTACTTTTACTTTGGTCCTGGCATTTTGCGTTTGCTTTGGATACCCCATTTCTTGGAAGAAGCTACAAATGGGCCCCAGCATCCTTTGGATCGGCTGGAGCTTCCAGTTCGCGGCTGGAGGGGTCGAGGTTCCTCCCGATAAAACTGAGAAGTTGCTCATTGGTCTCCGTGACCTTCTGAAGCAGGATAGGGTGGACAAGCGTGATCTGCATCGTGTCATTGGCCTTATTCAGTGGATTCTGCAGCTCTTTCCTTTGCTCAAGCCATGGATGAACACGCTTTATTGCGATTTGCATTCTCCTTTGGGAACAAACTATAGCATGGATCCTGGGGATTTTCCTTCCATTGCCGATTTCTTGGATGATGCATTGACTTTCACGTCCCGCCCGTCGGGGACTGCTATTCCTTTGGGGTCCAAGCTTCTTTCGGTTCGGCATGTCCACATTAAGCGCAAAAGCGACCTTGCTCAGGTTCCTTTGACGTCGAAGCGTCTGTGGCTGCGTGTGGCAGACCCCGCTAGCAGTCGGCGGCGTCTCTCGCCCGCCTCCAAGCAGTTTCTGCTTTACTGGAAGCATTGGGCTGAGGACCCTCCTCTTCTTCGACCTTTGCAGATTCCTTTGTCATCGCCTGTGGAGGCCGCTGCTGACGCCATGGCGTCCTCCAATAAGTTCGCCATTGGAGGCTATGTCAAGATGCCTAGTGGCAATCTTCTTTGGTTTTCGCAGTCTTGGATCATGTCCGACCTCGCGTTTACCAAGTTGGATGTCAGCGACGAGTCAGCGATGATGCTCAGGCATATATTGCCTCCTTTGAGACTCTAGCCCAAATTGCTTTGCTACACTGCGCTTCGGCCATGATTCCTTTTGGTCGTCTTCGCATTCGGATCAAGTCGTGGTGCGATAATGCTGGCGCGGAAAGCGTTTCAAACAAATTGTACACCCGCAAGTATCCACTTTGCATCTTTGCGCAACGACTCGCGCTTTTCAGTGCCTATTCGTCGATGTCTTTGGATGTTTCTCATATTCCCGGCGAATATAACAAGGATGCTGATATGCTTTCTCGCATTGAGGATTTCTCCGAGCTGCCTGCCAGGTTTCCTTTGAGTACTCGCTTGGTCCTGGACTTGGAGCAGCTTTGGTTTCGCAGGTCCGCGGTTTCTTTGAATCCGCCTAATTTCACACTTCGCTGGAAGATACCTGTGAACGAGTTCTTTCGATGAACCTTTACGGCCTCTCCCATTTTTTTCGGAGATATGCCAATGCTTTACGGCCTCTCATTTCTTGAGACGTGCCAGCTTCGCGGCCCTTTCGTGGCCCCACGCGCTGAGCCGTGAATGGCCTGATGCAGCACGCGCAAACCTCACAGTTCTATTGGGGGTTGTTTCACTTGGGCGAGGTTTACTTTGAGTCTGGCAGTCTTTCATGGGGTTGTTCGAAAGCTTCGGCTTGCTATGCTTGGCATAGACTGCACTCGCTTTTGCTTCCACCAGACTCAAAACAACCTC